GAGTTCAGGCCCCACGACAGGACCAAAAAAAAAACCTCATTGGGACTGCGGTCTTGGACATGCAAAGCCGACTAGAAGCACTCCAGAGAGAAGAAAGGCTGGTGGCCTCTCAGTGTCCCACACTAAGGCTAAGGCTAAGGACAAACAGGATTCAGCAAGGGAAACAGACTGTGAGCAAGGAACAAGGGAGCTCTTCCACCATATCCCTGGGGTGGGAGGGCACCAAATGAAAATAACTGAGGGAGGTGGATGAGGACACAGAAAACTACCTAAGCTAAAAGAACAAGTCGTCGACATGAAGGGTACGGTAACAGTGCTGCCTTCAGGAATAATACTGAGGAAGCTGAAGCCCAGAAAGAACCAGTGGTCACCAAAACCTCAAGAATCAATGAGGGGCAGGGGCAGGGATTCGAACTCAAGTCCCTGGGCCACGCTGTACTTGGCCATCCCCTACAACTCAGACCATACTTCCTCATTTTCCCTCCTGCATCTTCTACATCTCACTGCTCCTCCCAGCATCTGGGTCTTTGTCTGCAAATAACCAGGAGTCCTGCAGCAGAGCCAGGGTTGCGTATGCGTGTCTCCCCCTCCCCTCCCCCGGCAGGGGGCTCACCTCCGGTAGCTCTCCTCCTGCAGCAGGCTCCGGAGGGTCTGCAGGTCCCCCACATAGGCTGCGTCGTGGAGCCTCGTGTCCTCACAGTGCTCCAGCGGATGGTCACAAAACTGCTCCCGCAGCCACTCCTTCAGATTGGGACCTGCGCTGGAGAAAGAGGCTCCTGACAGTTCAGGGAAATACCAAGGGTGAGCAGGCAGGGTGCCATCCCCAGCAGATACCTCCTGCCCATGGGCACTCTCCAATGCCCAAGAAATAAATCATAGGGAACAGCTGGCAAGCTTCCCTTATCAAACTAGCACACCCCTGACACCAACTCTGACAAGAATTTTTTTTTAAGGTGATGGGGCCAAAGTGACTACAGAATTAGGATTCTGCAAGATCCTAGGCCAAGAAGTAGCAAATTAATTTTAAAAAAAGAAAGTACCAGCCAACTGCTGGTGGTTCTGTAATTCTACTCAGGTGGTTGGGATTTGAGGATGGCAGTTCAAAGCCAGCCCAAAGAGAAAAATCCGTAAGACTTATCTCCAATTAACTAACAGTCTCCCGCCCAAAAAAAAAGCTGGAAGTAGAGCTATAACTCAAGTAGCACAGCACTAACTTTGAGATTAAAAAACAAAAAACTGCCAGGTGCAGGTGGCTCATGCCTGTAATCCTAGCTATTCAGTAGATTGAGATCTGAGGATTGGAGTTCAAAGCAGCTCAGGCAGGAAAGTCTGTGAGACTTTTATCTCCAACTAGCCACCAGAAAACCAGAAGTGGCGTTGTGGCTCAAGTGGTAGAGAGCTAGCCTTGGGCTGAAGAGCTGAGGGACAGCGCCCAGGCCCAGAGTTCAAGCCCCAAGACAAAAAAACAAACAAACAAACACAGGGACAACCACAGGACCAACAGGACCAAAACCATAATAACCATCCATCAAAAAATTTCAGTATGGAAAAAAAAAAATTTAGTATGAGCCCGGTGCCAGTGGCTCATGGCTATAATCCTAGCTACTCTGGAGACTGAGATCTGAAGATCATGATTCAAAGCCAACCCAAGTAGAAAAGTCCATGAGACTTGTCTCCAATAAACTACTCAGAAAAAGCTGGAAGTGGTACTGTGGCTCAAATGGTAGAATGCTAGCCTTGAGCAGAGAAGCTCCAGGACAACACCCAGACCCTGAGTTTAAACCCCAGGACTAGCAAAATAAAAATGAAACTGGGATACAATTACTATAATTTATCCCAAGTAAGAACATCTTAAAACTGCAGGACTACAAAGGAAAGCGATAGCCACCTCCGTCCATGCAAAGGGACATCTGAGAGCAATCTCCAAGTATAGCCAAACAAGAGACACTGCTGCTCACAACACAGGGAGCCCCTGGGGTGCTGGTCTGGGAGACAACCACAGGCTGTCTGCAGAAGAAACCACTTACCAGAGGGGCTACTGTCCCCTACAAGTTCACGTGTTAAGACACATGGCCTCTCCAGGGGACTGGGGTGTTTCACCTGATCCAGGGTCAGTTCATCTTTTAAGATGTGGTCGGTCACCCCCATTCATGTGCCTACCACTGCCACCCATCAGGGGCAACGCAGACAAGGGGAGGGGACCGTCAGAGCCTGTGCCATGCTGTGTGGAGTTTCATCCTAAATAAACCTCTTTTAAGGAAAACGAAAATGTGTGTATATAAGTATAAAGCAAGCCCTATAAAATGAAAGACTGCATTATGCAGAAAAACCATGCTATGTACTGAGATAAGAAGATTCAATGTTAGGAGGAATTTTAGATTTATCAACAAATGAAGTTTAAGCAACCTCTTTGGGGTTTGATATCAAATATGACAAAACTATCCTAAAGTTTAGTTGGAAATGTAAATTTGGAAGAATAGCTTTTCTGTTGTTTTTAATAGTAACAGTAATGGGGGAAATGCTTATTGATACAAATCTCATCAGAACTTTTTAAAAACAGAATAAATTCTCAGGAAGACTTTAGCACAAATATTCTAATTTGTGATAAATGTACATCAAAATCAAAGAGGATAAAAGCATATTCAGCAAGTGAAACTTGTACCAGTAAATTACTGTTTGGAAATAACTGAACTTTCTTTCATTCACACCACAATTTGGAAATAACTGAGTCTTCAAACAAGAAGACTAAGGAAGTGTGCATGGACAGATGTGTACGTACGCGGGCTGCTGGGATCCAAGTTTCCACCCTGGCAGGCAGCCCTGCGCTGTTACCACGCAGTCAGACCACACGTCCCTCCACCAGTGCTTCTTCCAGATGGCGACGTGAAATCAGGCCAAGACCTGGCCACAGGGGCCATGGGTGAGGGGTACGTTTGTCCTGAAGGCTGTCACAGGCCAGTGGCAGAGGTAAAATGCAACAAACACCTCGACGGCGCCCCATCCCCCAACCAGCCCGCAGCAGACGCGCGGGAGCCCCGCGCCTGGGAACGGCCCCGAGCAGCCGGGGCCCTCCCGGGGCGCCCCGCAGGCGCAGTCCCTGCAGAGTGGGCGAGTTCACGGGCGGGAGTGGGACGGGAGACGAGGGCCGCGAGGGCCCGCCCGCC